CCTCTGTTGGTCTCCGTTGAATATGACCAAGCCATCTCAAACGATTCTCTCTCAACTTATCTTCTATCGGTGCTACTCCTACCCATTCCCGAATATACTCATTCCTAATCCTGTCTTGTCTAGTCTTACCATACATCCACCTTAGCATCATCATCTCAGCCACACTCATTTTATCTACATGTTGTTTCTTGGTTGCCCAACACTCCGTCCCATACAACATAGCTAGTCTAATAGTCGTTCTATAAAACTTACATTTTAGTCTAGTGGGTAATTCGTTTATCGCACAATACCCCAGACGCACTTCTCCACTTACACCATCCCGCCTTAATCCTATGGGCCACATCTGCATCAATCTCTCTCGTTGTTGTGATAGGCTCGGGTTGCTCGGGTTGAGCCCGCCCGAGTTGCACCCCTAATCTAGGCCTACCCCATCCCCTAACACTTCCATCTACCGTTACAACATCGCATCTCTTCACTACTGCCTCTATTGGTCTCCGTTGAATATGACCAAGCCATCTCAAACAATTCTCTCTCAACTTATCTTCTACCGGTGCTACTCCTACCCATTCCCGAATATACTCATTCCTAATCCTGTCTTGTCTAGTCTTACCATACATCCACCTTAGCATCATCATCTCAGCCACACTCATCTTATCTACATGTTGTTTCTTGGTTGCCCAACACTCCGTCCCATACAACATAGCTGGTTTAATAGCCATTCTATAAAACTTACATTTTAGTCTAGTGGGTAATTTGTATATCGCACAATACCTCAGACGCACTTCTCCACTTACACCATCCCGCCTTAATCCTGTGGGCCACATCTGTATCAATCTCTCCCGTTGTTGTGATAATCGACCCTAAATAACGAAAATATTCACTCTTAGGCAGTTCTTAGTTCTCAATCTTCACTTCTCCTCTACTTTCATTGTTACAGTTACTAAATTTACACTTCATGTACTCTGTCTTAGTTCTGCTTATCCGGAATCTTTTAGATTCAAGGGCTTTTCTCCAAATCTCCAACTTTGTATTAACTCCTTCTCTAGTCTCATCCACTAACACAATATCGTCTACAAAAAGCACACACCATGGCACGTCATCCTGAATATTTATCGACAACTCGTCCATAACTAAAGCAAAAAGATAAGGACTTAAGGTAGATCCTTGGTGTAACCCTACAGTGATAGGAAATTCATTTGTCTCTCCAGCTGCGCGATCTAATAGTGGTCACCACCCCTTCATACATGTCCCTAATCACGTCAATATAGCCTTTTGTCACCCCTTTCTTCTCTAATACCCACCATATTATATCTCGGGGTACTCTGTCATATACTTTCTCAAGGTCGATAAACACCATATGAATGTCTCTTTTCTTTTCTTTATACTTTTCTATTACTCTCCTCAAAAGATAGATCGCTTCCATTGTTGACCTACCAGGCATAAACCCAAATTGATTCTCTAACACCTCTGTTATGTCTCACAATCGGCGTTCCATCACCCTCTCCCACACTTCCATTGTATGACACATTAGCTTGATTCCTCTATAGTTGTTACAATTCTGGACATCACTTTTATTCTTGTAGATTGGCACCTATATACAATATGTGTGAATAATTCAAAAAGAATATTAAAAAAAAATCAATACTCTAAATAATTAATTTATGTATTTCCTTCTTAATCCAATCACAACATATTTATATTTTATTTTTTAAATAAATTTTGCGTAGTGCTATTTCTACATATTTTTATTTTCTATATAAATATAAATATAAAAATAAATAATTAGAATCACTTTTAGTTTTATATTACTAATTTTCTTTCTAATTTAACTATTATTTTTAATATCAAAATGAGTGTTTATTTTACTATCTTATAATTTAATATATTTCATACAAAACCATTATATGATAATTACACTTTTATAGCACAATATAACTAAGATTATCAAAATAAACAAATAATTTAACTAAATTTATTATATAAGTATTCAAGTACCACTTTTATAGAACGATAATGTTAAGATTATTAAAATTTATATTATTCTTTTGCAACACATATCATAATATAAAATATCATTACATTAATTAAAGTTAACTTCATTGTGATTTTATATCAAAAATCATATTTTTAGAAGTGATTTACATACACGTATATTGTCCAATTTGATATTGATCGATTAAAATAATGAAACACAATTTTTTTTTTTTTTGGTTAAGTTTTTAGAAGATAAATTGACAAATGTCAAATGATAAATAGTGTGGAGTATTATTTTAAAGAATAGTGGTTCATTGAAAATAATTATATATATTTAAGGCACCTATTGATGTTTCTTGAATAATTTATAAATAAAAATTTTAAATTTATAGTATTACTGATAATGTACCTTCATGTGGTCTGCCAGAAACGATATCTAAAATAATTTGGCTGCAAAAAAAAATTTACAATTATTATGATATGTTACATAATTAATCAGATCTCTTTTGAGAATTGAAATTATGATTTGAATTTGTAATTTTTTATGCATAAATGTGAATAACTCTTACGATCTTACTGATATAAGCATAAATCCTACATTTGAGTCAACCTACCCTAAGAACTTCTTCCTGTAATAAAATACTTAAATATTGTCATATAAAATATTATAATAGATCATAATCGAACAGCACTTGAAGCTTAATAAAATATCTGATGCACGCCTTTACACATAAAAAAAAAATTAGTAAAGACATTTTCAATTAATAACTAAAATAATACAACATGAGTTATAACCAAGTCATAATTTGTATATTATAGAAATTTTTCATTGTTTTTTTTTTTTCAAGAAAAAAATAAAATTAGTTTGATACAAGTGAAATTCATGACTTTGGTAAATTTGATTAACACAAGAGAATTTGATTTTAGGTCGATAATACATTTTTTTTTTTATAACTTTGAAAGAAATTATTCTTATGAGCTTTTTATATAAGATCACATACGGTAACAAAAATTTTCTTTCAATTGCTAAAATTTTCTACACAAAGTATCAAGACTCAAAATTAATTTTTTATTTTAAAAATAAATTCTCATGTAATGCACGGGTAAACTACTAGTTAATTATGAAAGACATATCTTGATCTTGTGCTATACATTAGTTGAAGTGTTGTTCCTTATGAGTTGTAGAAGAACCGTATTAAGCTGCTTAGGTTTCAGTATTGGACCAAGAAATTTATTTTCTTTTACAGTACATTTCTGAAGTGGGTGAAAATTAATCAAGTCTTGGTGCTAGGCCCAATGCAATACTCACTCCAAGGTGGAGCTAGGTCGGACCTCGGCCCTATGGCCAACACTTGCTCCGAAGTAAGACAATCATAGGAGTTCGGCCCAATGTACGAGCGTCACTCCAAAGTGGGCCGAGCAACATGGTGGACCTTCTGGATGGACAGAACCACTCCGAAGTGGGTTGAGCAACATATTGGACCTTCTGGATGGACAGAACCAATCCGAAGTGGGTTGAGCAACATATTGGACCTTCTGGATGGACAGAACCAATCCGAAGTGGGTTGAGCAACATATTGGACCTTCTGGATGGACAGAACCAATCCGAAGTGGGTTGAGCAACATATTGGACCTTCTGGATGGACAGAACCAATCCGAAGTGGGTTGAGCAACATATTGGACCTTCTGGATGGACAGAACCACTCCGAAGTGGGTTGAGCAACATATTGGACCTTCTGGATGGACAGAACCACTCCGAAGTGGGTTGAGCAACATATTGGACCTTCTGGATGGACAGAACCACTCCGAAGTGGGTTGAGCAACATATTGGACCTTCTGGATGGACAGAACCACTCCGAAGTGGGTTGAGCAACATATTGGACCTTCTGGATGGACAGAACCACTCCGAAGTGGGTTGAGCAACATATTGGACCTTCTGGATGGACAGAACCACTCCGAAGTGGGTTGAGCAACATATTGGACCTTCTGGATGGACAGAACCACTCCGAAGTGGGTTGAGCAACATATTGGACCTTCTGGATGGACAGAACCACTCCGAAGTGGGTTGAGCAACATATTGGACCTTCTGGATGGACAGAACCACTCCGAAGTGGGTTGAGTGTGGTGGTATAGAGGTGTAGTGGGAAGAGTGTGGTGTATAAGGTTTATGGTGCGGAAGGTTGGCAGTTCGAGTCTCCGCAAGAGCGGATGAAATTGTTCTACAACGAATTATGGTGTAATGACACTTACAAGTGTCACTAACTCTTTTTTTAATGGCACTTGATAATGTCATAAATAATATCTACCATGACATTAAAATGTCATTGAAAGTTTTCAGTCATGATGGTGCAGTGGCACTTGCAAGTATCTACCGTGGCACTCGTATCTACCGTGGCACCGATAGAAGTGACACTTGTTCAAAATGCCACAAGACCAAAAAATGTCATTAAAAGAATAGTTTTGTGACACTTTTAAGTGTCACTAAACCAAGAAAATGTTGTAGTGATTCTTATGAGCTTTTTATATAAGATCACATACGGTAACAAAAATTTTCTTTCAATTGCTAAAATTTTCTACACAAAGTATCAGGACTCAAAATTAATTTTTTATTTTAAAAATAAATTCTCATGTAATGCACGGGTAAAACTACTAGTTAATTATGAAAGACATATCTTGATCTTGTGCTATACATTAGTTGAAGTGTTGTTCCTTATGAGCTGTAGAAGAACCGTATTAAGCTGCTTAGGTTTCAGTATTGGACCAAGAAATTTATTTTCTTTTATAGTATATTTCCATGTTTCTATATTTCAATCATATGACCAGTCAAAAGTGGTTTATAATGATTTTTTGGTAATTCTTTCTTGGTGTTGAATCATAGGATCATACATGTTTATGTTTTTTTTTCTTCTTCTAATTCAATTTTAATATATTTGTGCAATCAATACTGCAACTTATAGACTGTCAAAAGTGTCTTTCAATGCCCAAACCAGACTCAATACCCAAAAAATTACTGCAAAAATTACCTATTTAAAATAAAATGTGTGGATAAAATTTATTTTGATTATGAGCCACGTCATATTAAGTTTGAATATCTATACATATACTTCATTTTCATGATGCTTTTTCAGAATACCTATTACGGCATTAGTAAACTTGGAAAAAAACAAGCAACACCAACAGGAGGAAGAGGAAAGCAGCAACAAGATGCATAAAGTTTTGGTCACCATGAATTGGAGGCACATTAGGCCTCCCGAGTTCTTCCATGGCGGTACCACTCTTGCTAATCACGTTGTTTCCTTCGTCGTTATGGACATTTTGATCATCTTTCTTGCTTAAATTGCTTGCACTTTCCCCTTCTATGCAACTGAATATTGCAGCTGATGAGAATTCAGATTTCTCTCCCTCCAATCTGAATGTTGTGCTGTTTTCCAACCTCTCAGCGCTTGTTTTCTCATTGTTCACAGATTTTGGCATGGCCTCAAATGTTGATGATGCTAGTGTTTGTATTGAATCATTAAAAGAAACTCTCCTTGTGCGACGGAAATTTAGGCTCGCCTCTGGGACTTGCACGTTTTCTCTCCTAGATGGCGTGATGAACGCATTGTGTTGTTCATTTTTTGGCATTGCCATGTTCAAATGAACCGATGATGTAGAAAACCTGCGAATTAGGCCCGGGGATTGAATGGAACCAGTTTCATCCTTTCTTGCCCCCAACCTCGTTATCTTATGAATCAGACTAAATTTCTTGCGCACGCATTTTTGGCTACTAGAAGAGCTATCGATTGTAGAGCTAGTATTTTCATCGCTCTCAGAAGAGGAAATGCTGTCAAGAGTGGAATCTGAACTTGGCTGTTCGTTTTTTTTGTGGAATTCACTGCTTGAATTCTTTCTGAGAAAGTCAGTTTTGGGGGTTTTGGGTTGTGGATTTTGGGAGTTCTGAGTCTCAAACCTCAGGCAGGCATTGAGCCAGCGTTGGTACATCAGTTCTTCGACCATGCCAAACCGGTTCCTCTGCAGTCTGTCAACTTGTTTTAAAAGTTCTTCATTGGCAAGCCTTAGATTACTTTTCTCAGACTCTATCTCCGCAATAATTTTAATCTGCAAATTATTTTTAAAAAAGGAAAAAGGCTTGTATACATTATATAGAAAATACAAGCATAACTTTACTTGTACCTGAATTTATAATACCAACAAAACACTACTCACCTGTGTCATATTTGAAAGAGCGGCTCCAGCTTGCGAAGCTGATAATTTGATAGCCAATTCCCTCTTTTCTAACTGAATCTCTCTGCCCCTCCTCTTCATCTCAACAACTTCCATCTCCAAATCTTTCAAAAGTCTCAGCCTATTCTCAACCCTGGAATCGCTAACCAGTGTTTCCTCCATCTGAATGCCATAAACTTGTTCTTTGATCATCTTTAACTTTCCCTTCATTCGCGATGCATCAACACACAACTTCGCCTCCAATTCTAGTATCATCTTTCTTGCAATCTCAAGCTCATTCTCTGCCAACTGATGTTGTTTGATCTCTTCAATTAGCTTCTTTCTCTCTGCCTGCAATGTGTCTATAGTGACATTAAGAATGTCAATCTCCGCTATTTTAGCCTCCAAATGGCTCTGCATCCGAGCAATGTTGAATTTTTGGTCTCTCAAACCATAAAATTCGAGCAATTTCACTTCCAAGATCGCTCTCCTTTCCTCCATTTCCTTGATTTCATTCTTTAACTTCTCTATTTCGATAACATTGTTCAATTCTTCAGCATATATTTGAGACTCAATACTCATTATGTCACTGTTTTCAGAATCATTTTGTTTAAAAATATGTTTGCTTTTACTTGTATTGCTTGTAGCCTCCTCTTCCTGCTTTGACTCCACCTGCAACAGGAAAATCTTTCGTTTATTTTTTATCAATTAAATTGGAAGGGGGATTGGAGAGGTCCACCCAGTTGGCATGTTGTAGGCCCATCCCGAGTCTACCTAGGTTATCCGAGTTGTTCATTTTGTGTAAGACCCACTAAGCAAATCATCTATATAAAAAAATAAAATTGATCGTATATTGGCAACTATGTGATTGGATCACATTTGTATTAAAAATAATGAATGACAAGTATGATTTTGAGAATATTCTGTCTACTTTTTTTTTTTAAATATGATTCAATTAAGTAACTATAATGTTTGATTAATATGATTTTTTTACATAGATAATATGTCTGGTAGACCTCACAAGATGAATGGTAGGTCAACAATGGAAGCGATCTATCTTTTGAGGAGAGCAATAGAAAAGTATAAAGAAAAGAAAAGAGACATTCATATGGTGTTTATCGACCTTGAGAAAGTATATGACAGAGTATCCCGAGATATAATATGGTGGGTATTAGAGATGATTTGCTTAGATCGCTTTTAGCCTCAAAATCAACTGATAGATCGCTTTTGACATACTGATAAAAGTATATGACAGAGTACCCCGAGAATATTATCTTGGAGGCTAAAAGCGATCTATCAGTTGATTTTGACAACTATGTGATCGTATATGCTTTTCTCTGCTCTCTCTCTCTTTCTTAAATGAACTCACAATATACCAACTGATCTCTGTAGTTCAATTAAGGACCAGAGAAAAGCATGCTCCTATTTTGAGAAAGAGAGAGAGCAACAACATTGGAGTCTTCAAACTTGTAAATCTCTTCAATTTGTTCTTGGTGGGAGCTAGAGCCGTCATTCTCTGAGACCAAAAAACAAAAGTAGAGTTAGCAAATCTTGCCATACTTGAAAATTGAAATTACAACCACACAAATACTGTGTTTGGTTAGAAGATTTGAGGAGAGATTTGAAAATGGAAAGGAAAAAATTATGTGAAATATGAATAAAATATACCTATATTTCACCTAGTTTCACACACCTTTTCCCTTTCCCTTTCCAAATCCCTCCCCAAATCTCCCAACCAAATACAGCATAAAACTAAGCCATTAATATAAAAATAGATTAAAGAACTGTAATGAGTACTTGGATTTGCAGTTGTTGAGTTTCGTCGCCGTGAACAATTTAAGTTAATCTGAGCTATTGCAAAAGCTGAAACGGAGGCTACAACTAGAAAGCTAAACCTGAATAACATATATGAGGTGTGTAGTTCAGTGTGGTTTATAGACCAGCTTCATCCCAACCAAAACTGTGAAATTTCTCTGTTATTTCACCACCACACTATTCTTATCTTGTTCATGAAATTGAAAAATATCACCACCAAGTTGTGGTTGATCTTTGTTTCCGGACAGTGGCAATTAATGCCTTTTGGAAGAACTACATAGCTACAAAAATTGTATTAAGATATTTAAAAACCTATTTAGTCTGACCCGATCCCACCCGGCCCGACCCATGGTTGAGCTATTTTAAGCAGAATCAAGTCAACTTAGAGCATCTCCAATGGAGCTGCTATATCAGTTGTCAAAGCTAAAAAATGACAGAAATGGCAAAAATCAGTCTCCAATGGTCTGCTATTTCCCTTGCCAAAGATGGCAGATGCCATATGTGTTCTCAAATATGGCAAGTGAAATAGCAGATGCCAACATTGCCAGATCAGCAAAATCCAACAGAAATTGGCACCAAATTCAGTTGAGAAAACAACAGAATTAATCCAGTAGGGAAGCTATTTTCCAAAATCAAACCCAATTTTTACAATCAAGCAAATTTCACATGAAGACAGATCGTGTATTTATATATATATGATCATTGGAGATGAAGACAGCTTGTATATATATATATATGATCAAAATCAAACCCAAAACATATATATATATATATATGTAATATGTATATATGAAGACAGATATTTTTTATGGAGACCAAAACACATAAAAACAGAATTTTTTGATGGAGATCAAGACAAATCAATATATATATATATATGCAGATAGATCAAAACATATATATATATATATATATAGATGAAGATTTTACCAGAGGGGGTTCCGATCTTGGAGGAGAAGGGGGAGATCGGGTTCCGATCATGGAGGAGAAGCGGTTCCGATCTTGGAGGAGGGGGTTTCGATCTTGGAGGAGAAGGGGAGATCGGGTTCCAATCCTCTGCTCTGTTTGGTTTGTTCTCTGTTTAATTTCGGCCATGGAGGAGAAGACACAGTGATGAGAATGAGAGGGAGATGAAGAGCTGTGGAGGAGATGAGAGGGAGATGAGAGTGAGAAGAGACAGAGATAGATGTCTGCAAAAGAGTGATGGGTCAGTGTAAATAAGAGAGACGTTGGGCTCTGTTTGGTTTGTTCAACTAAAAAAAAAAAAAAAAAAATTGAAATTAATTTTTACAACGGCTCTTTAAACGGCTATTTGCCAAACGGTAATAAATTTCATTTCTATAAATTGAAACCTTCTTTCACTTTTATTTCACACAAAAAACCTATATCCAAACAACACCTACAAAGTTGGAGGGAAAGTTGGTTGGGATTTGCCAAAAATAGCAAACAACCATTGGAGCACCATTGCTATAATTTGACAAAATAGCACTATTCATTGCCAAATTATAGCAATAGCAACCCCAATATAGCAACAACCATTGGAGATGCTCTTATAGGCAAGTTGGCACTTTATCTAATGCCCATCTAAAAACTTCCCAAAAAATCTTTTTTGTTAAGGTTCAATTGTCCAAAGCTTGAGGAGTCTCTGTTTGGGAAGTGGGTTGGCTTTTTTATTTTTTGATTTTTTTGACTATTTTAACTTAAGCTAAAAAGCATGGTTTGGAAAGGACTTTTTAACTTTTTGAATTTTTTAGCTTTTTTAGCTTTTTTGTGAGAGAAGAGTGTAATGATTATAGATTGAATGTGATGTTTTGTTTATTGTGATTAAAATAGCCTATTTTATCTTTTATGACTATTTTAATCACAAACCAACTTGCCAAACACCACAGTCTATATCCAAGAACCAAGATGGACAGTGATTCAGGAACCAACGACACTTATAATAATTATATTTCTAATTCCTCACCTAGTTATAATTATTTGCCTAAATGTCATATTTTTGTAATTTATACACACAAAAAAAACATGTACAATTAAGTTATTTATTTATAAAATAAATAAAAATGAAAATCAACTAACCGTTAGGAAAATGAAAATGAAAACAAATTTACATCAGGGCCGGCCCTGGCCTAAGGCATGTGCCTTAGGCCCCAAATTTTTGGCCCAAAAATAGGGCTCCTAAATTTAGTAAAATGTTATAGGCCTAATGTATTTTTTATTTATTTATTTATTTTTTTAGGATCAATTTAAAGGGCTCCAAAATATTTTATTGGGTTCATGTATGGTTTAACCCATATTTATTTATAAGTGTAGTTTGGTCCATATTTATTAAAATGAAAATATATATTAAAAAAAAAAAGAAAGTGTTTGGGCCCAAGAAGAACAATACATACAATATATAGGTCCTAATTTTTTTTTTAAACCTTCTTTATCTATTAGGTTTTAGTGGAATAAATAATTTTTCCCAAATTTTTTTACCTAGGTCCTTATTAGTTTTAATTGAATAAGTTTTTCGTAATTTTTTTGTCCTAATTTTGTTTCATTAAATTGTTTTGTTCATAATTTAATGATTATATGTGCAAGTTGTGGCTACAAACAAATAAAAAAAGTTGTAACTTATCGTTTCATTCATGAACTTTTTTTTTTTTTTAATGTAAGAAGGGCCTCATTTCTGAAATTCTCCTTAGGCCCCATAAATCTCAGGACCGGCCCTGATTTACATTGAGATTTGAAATTGAAAACCAGGATAATTATTTAGTAGTACATTATATATGTGGTACTTTAAATCAATCACATGGTTGAAAAATAGATTAAATTAAAATTTTAATTTTTATAATTTTATTTTGGTCTCTATTATTTTAAATTAAACAATTTAATCCTTAGTTTAATTATACTTTTAATTTAATCATTCTATTCAAATTAGCAATTAAAATAAGAAATTTTGGGACTCTTGCAATCTCTTGGGAAAAAATTAACGATTTTTTTTTTCTGAAATGACTAAATTAAATATGAACTTGAAGTGTAAGCATCAAAGTAAAAAAAATTATGTTAGAGTCTAGATATAAAAAGTGTAATTTACTTAAAAATTTGTGGATATAATATACTAATTCACCATTATTAGGCAATTGTGAGGCAAATAATAACCAATCAATGCGTTAAAAAAATTTATACTTATCAAGAAGGTAGATAATACATTCATCATGTTTGGTTTTAGAAAATTGATTCCACTTTTCAAAAATTTGAGTTTTATTTAGTGAATTTTTTAAAAATATTTTATGTAATTTATTTATTTATTTTTTAGATATATCTAATTTAAATACGCTTAAAAAGTATAATATTTTTGAAAAAAAAACTTTAAAAATTCACCAAATTCACAAAAATACAAAAAAATAAAAATAAAAATTCAATACATTTTTGTATTTTGTTGTATTCAATGAAATTCGTAAAGATTTTTTTACAATTTTTTACTTTTTAAGTATATTAAGATTAAATGTATCTAAAAATTTTAAAAATGATTAAAATATTTAAAAAATCATTACAAATAAAAAAATACAAATTCAAAATTCAGAAAACTATTTTTGAAAACTGAAAACTAAACATGGAAAATATTCAATTTTTACTTTTTAAGTATATTAAGATTAAGTGAATTTAAAAATTAAAAAATGATTAAAATATTTAAAAAATCATTACAAAGAAAAAAATACAAATTGAAAATTTAGTAGACTATTTTTAAAAACTGAAAACTAAACATGGAAAATATTTACTAATTTGAAAAAATTACAAAAAAAATCTTAGGGTTTGACTCTTATAACAAAATAAAACCTTAATTTTGCTAATTTAAACTATAATCTTTTAATTTATTTTTAATCTAAATTATTTATCTATTTTTGTTAAGTAAAATCGATTAAAAAAATACATTTTAATAAGTAAATTAAACGGATAATATTGTAGATATTCTATATATAATTATAGGGATTTTTATTGATAAATCAATTTAGAAATGTCCTAACCCAAGAAGTTCATAAAAGAATTTTTTAATCCACATTATGCTTTTATTTCATAAAATCCTTTTTCTTGATTTATATTATTTTCTTAGATTCTTATGCTCTTATATTTAATATTGATATTTAATGTGGAGAAAGAATGAAAGGACTAAGACATAGAAAATGTCATACACAAATTAAATAACATAGATGTTATTATTTTATATTATTATATAATGTGAATATATTTTTAATTGATGACACATTAAAAATAATGTGAACATTCTCTCTCATCTGATATGGATATATTTTTAATTGACAATACATTAAAAGTAATGTGAACATTCTCTCTCATTTGATATGAACGCTCACAACACTTTTTCGAAAAAATTTCTCTCATCTAATATAGTAATATGAACGTTTACAATATGTGAACTTTCTTATTTTTAATTAATAACACATTAAAAATAATATAAACATTCTTTCTCATTTGATATGAACGTTCATAACACCTTTCCAAAAAATTCTCTCTCATGTAATGTAACAATGTGAATGTTCACAGCATGTTACATTTTTACTTGACAACACATTCTTATTCACAATATGTAATTGACAACCCAATGAAAAATTCATTTCAAATTAATGTGAATATAATGATGTGAATATTCATATCATATAATTGACAACACAATGACAAAAATTCATTTCAAATTAATATGAATATAATGACAGTCAACATCCTAATGTATGGAAACTATCAAAATATAATAACATCAACATTAATAAAGGGCATGAGAAATCAAGGGTGTTTTGGTCTTCTTACCTCAAATAGGATTTAATGGAATAGTGAAAAAGAATATGAGTTTGATGGAATAAAACTCTTAAAAAGATAACTTATCAAAAAAGCTTCCATAATTATATTAAGTTTAATTGTTAGGTTGATTTCCTTTAATGGAAATTGACAAATAATTTAATTTAAAAACAAAATCAAAAGATTAAAGAAAAATTAGTGAAACGTCTCTCTCCAAATTTGAATAGAATGAGAGGTTCAATATGCTTTTTTTTATTAGTAAAAATCTCTCGATGAAATTTCTTTATGATTAAACTAGAGAAATTTTGAAATTTTTTTGTGATCATATTAGAGAAATTTTGAAATTTCTCTGTGAAATCAAAATAATTTCTCTGTATTGAATTTTTTCTATGAAAATGTTAAAGGATTCCAACAAATATAAAAATATTGTATGTCCTTTATCTTATAAAATCTTAATACCAGGACCTTAAAAAAAATTCCACAAAGATTAACATTTGAATTTAAAAAATTAAAAAATTATTTTATTATGAGGATGAAACTCACAATTTTTTTAACCCTAAACTTTTTTCCGGTTCTTAATCGGACTAGAGAGGTAATGTTCGGCCTAATGGGTCTACTTTTGAGTAACGTTTCGATAATTTGAATCGTTCATATTTTAGGATTCATCGAAGATATCATCCTTTTAAAAAATCAAGCAATCGAATAACAAAAATTACGTATTCCAATCAATTTTATATAAAAAAAATAAATGATAAAAAAATAAACGATTCATATAAAAATAATCAAAACGCATACTTTTCGTTATCAAATTAATTTGATTACACAGATAATATTCTAAACAAATTTTAAAAATATGAATAATTTAAATTATTGAAATAAAATCCAAAAAGTAAACCAAAGGAACAGCACCTCGGACTGAAGAGAACAGCTGTTTTTTTATTTTATTTTTTTGTTTTGTTTTTTTTTCTTTTGACTCTTCATCTATCATAATTTTCTTGAGAGCCATCGCAACCAAAAAAAAAATAATAAGAATAATAATAATTCTTTTTATGATGGTGAGTAGATTTTTCAGACCCACCACTATTGGATTTTATCGTCATCGTCACTCCCCAATTTCTTCTTTTCACTTGTTCTCTACAACAATCCCTCTAAAAAAACCCTAATCACATCTTCAATTTCAATGGAATTAACAACATCAACAACAAATACAAAGGTACCCAAACCCTAGCCACTGAATTCACGACTCTCCCATGGACTCGAGACGCACATCGCGAGTGATCGATCCCAAGGTCCGCCATGTCGGCTTCTTCGCCCCCGCCGCACCACCGCCTCTCTCGCCGGATCGGGCTCAATCCGGGGCGCCGGAGCCGTTGTTGTCAACTCCGGTCTCCGGCAACTCCCTCTCCCCCGTTATGATCCCCCCTCCACGCCACGCCTCCGACAATCTCTCTTCCCTCGTCCCCCATCACCAGTCACGCGCCGTCGATGTGCCGGTTCCGGCGTCGGCGACGAGGCGGAGCTCCGTGGAGATCGTCCCCGTCGTCGGGAGCTATAATCAGTCGGAGTCTGTTCTCGGGACTTCACCTTCGTCGGCGATTTCGCCATTGAGTAGGGTTGTGGATGGAGAGTTCTCGGAGGACTCGGTGAATTGGATTCGGAGAAGCAATTCGGGGAAATTCGCTTCGTCTGTTCCGAGTGGAGGTATTGATTTGACAATGAAGCAGCCTCAGGAGGTGTCTGCTAATGGTAGACTCTTGTTTCAAATATTGTTATCTGTTTCTTTTGTTTTCAATTCACGATTGAATGATAATTTGGTTCATTGTTGCCATTTTATTTGATATTTTCATCTGCGTATTGATCATTGTTTTAAGCTTATGACGGAACAAATGAAAAGGAGAGGAAGTAAAACAAAGCAATCACACAATTGTATGAAGGTATACGTGGTTCAGTTATAAATCTATTTCAATGAGTGAAAAATGGCATAGGATTTCAGTATCAGAGAAGGAGGAAATACAAAGAGCGTTTGTCTCTGTCAAAGGGATTTGTAATACAAGTTTACTCTAATCTCATTAACCTTAATTCGTGAATAACTCATAATATATACTAAGATTTGAATACAATAAGAACGGGGTCAGACGTAGCTGCTAATGCAATTCATAAATGGGTCATAAGTACAAACCAAGTAGAATTTGAGACACCCACCACAAATTTCAAAATTTTGGCAATGGGTTTTAACATCGGACCAATTTCAACAGGTGGAGTATTTGATTAAGTTGAAGAAAGTTTGATTGATGATTTGGAAATTAAGCGGTTTAGTATTTTTAGTGTTTGTGGCAAAAAAACTATTGAAATTTGGAAGTTTGATTTTGACTTCTGAATAGTTGAAAGGAAATTAGAACCTTAGTAGCAGGAATCGTTCAACTTGCTCACGATTCTTCCTCAAAAGCGTGATTCTGCACTTCTGACTCAGATTCGCAGAAGAATCGCGAGTTTGATGATAGAGAAACGCGAATCTGATCGCGGATCTATCGTCTTCTCTTCCTTGCGATCGGTCTATCCCTCCCTCTTCTCTCGATCTCTATCTCATGACTCGTCTTCTCTAGATCGATCAATCTCGTCTCCTCTCTCCCTCGATCTCGTCTCGTCCTCCTCTCGATCGGTCGATCGATCGATCGATCGCCGCCTCCTCCTCTTCACTCTCTGTCTCGCCTCTGTCTGAGCCTCTCTTCTCTCTTCTCTCTTCTCTCTTGTTTTTGTTTATTTTATTTTATTTTATATTTTATTCAAATATTAAATGTATTTATAATTATTCTAATATATTTTCTATTTATTTATTTTACCTTTATAAATATAAATAAATGTAATGGGTTATATATATATATATATTAAGTTAATATTAATTTTTATATCCACAAAATAAATAGATTTTAATTCTAAGTAAAAACACAAAATAATTGTATTTAATTTCATTTTTTTATTCAAAGTCCTTTGAATGATGCTTTTGTTGAAATGTGTGCTGCTAGACGGAGGCATGATATGGAGGAAGAACATGCAAAACACTTGAATTTGATTTGCCACAATGCTTGTATGTTAATTTATATACTTAGACCTCGTTTGGGAACCCTCTTTTTTAGCTAAAAAGTCAAAAAGTTACTAAATTAGCTAAAAAGCCAACAACACATACCAAAAAGTCAAAGATTCTCTTTTCTCTCTACTTTTCGCATATCTTTTCGTAAAAAGTCAAAAAGTCATCCCAAACATATTAGTTTTTTTTAGCTCATATTTTAGCCAAATAGCCAAAAAGTTATTAAATTAGCTTGTTCCCAAACGAGGCCTAATTAAAATTATAACTACAAAAAATTATTGTGAAAAAAAATATTATAAAATAGCAACTCTTTAATAGGTAAAAGTAATTTAATATAAAAGGTGTCAAGGGGCACCACCCACATACAAAAATAAAGGAAAACCTTTTCTACACGAGTCAACCAAGAAGAGAGAGAGAGAGAGATTCACCCTATTCATCACTCAACTCAACTATATAGAAAGACTTCAAATTTTACTTTTTAAAACATGTACTAAAGCAACATGAAGTCATGACATGGAGAAAGAATATGCAAATATTTTTATGTGCTGATGGGTGTGATATTCTGTGAAAAATATTAACCTCGTTAATGATTTGGGGGTAAAATGAACAAATCTCAATAGTTTAAGGGGTAATGGTTCAAATTAATAGTTCAAGGGATAAAGTGACAAGTATAATAGTTCGAGGGGGCAAAATGAAATTTCCCAAAAGATCATCATAGTGGGCCAAATTGGATTTTTCTGGAAAAATGGTCTATTAGTTTACATCATGGAGTTTATAGCCATGCTTTATTCTTTTCAATATAAGCGTAGTTCTTTAGATCACATTAACAGCCATGATATGGTTATTGCTCAATTGCGTTGCATTTGTAGATACCAGTTGCCTGATTATCTCTGTGGAATGTTGTCATATTAAGTGTGCATAGCTTCTATGATAAACTTGGTCTTGAGTTTGCATGCTATTATTCTATTTTCTATTTTTCAATGTATGTGTTTTGTTCATAGGACAGTGTAGTTGATTTGATGATTTTGCTTGCTTGTCCTAGTTACCTGATTAAATAAAAATCTTGCAGAGATGAGTATAGGAAAAGGTGCTGAAATATCAAATGAATTGTTATCAAGCTCAAAGGCATTAAAAGAGAAGACAACAAAAGCTGAAAGGCGTGCCCTGCAGGAGTCTCAACGAGCTGCCAAAGCTGCTTCCAAAGGTTCGAGTAGAGATTTTCATATCTTAGGAACAATTGGAAATGAATGGGTGCTACTGTATGATTGGTATCCTGGATTTTGAAAAATGTTATTATAATATTTTTTTTTATTTAGTAGGTAGTTTTAAGTGGTGCATTCTACCTGACAACTTTTTCTAAATAGATTATGTTGATTAGGATTTGGTGGATAACCTCGTAGTATTTGCATTTGATTCATGTAATATCTAGAAACTTCTTTTGTTATTATTTAAAAGAATTTTGTGTTTGATTTCTTGCATTATGCTAATGTTTTCTTAGAACTTGAGATGAGGTTCTTTTTGGAAATATTTTAGTTTTGAATAGTGATTCTGTCCAAATAGCAAGGTGTCTTTGTTGCCGAATTATTTGGTCAATAGTCGTTTTTAACTTTATAGTTAGTAAAATATAATCAAATGTATTACTGTGGTAAAATATTAGATAGCTTCTGATAGCAAAAGTAAATCCTGATGAACATTTTGATGGAATGTTGAGGTTTTGAGATACCTTCTGATTTCACTTCATGAATTTAAACCCATTTTAATTATTTCACACAGGAAACTTTTTAAATCTTTGTTTACTCTTTAAGGACTTGTTTGGGAACATGCTATTTTAGTAACTTTTTGGCTTTTTAGCTAAAATATGAGGTAAAAAAAAAAAACTAGCATGTTTGGAATGACTTTTTGATTTTTTACGAAAAAATGTGCAAAAAGTAGAGAGAAAAAGGAATCTGACTTTTTGGTGTAAGTTATAGACTTTTTGATTTTTTAGTAACTTTTTGGCTTTTAGGCTAAAACAGCCACATGCCAAATGAGGCCTTAATTCTGAACTTCTTTTCCATTTTCCTTGGGGGTTTGAGAGATTTTTGTCTGTTGTGAACAATTTGAATGATTGTTGGTTCAGTAGGTTATGTAATAGGTGTGAGGATAGATGTATTAGATTGTCTGTCTTCCGTGTTAAATTTCTTATTTTCGTTGTTATGTACTTGACGCAAATAATGTTTATTTTACTAAATCTTTGCGATTCTGATGATGTTTGCTATTTATCATTTATTTTATAGTGGTCATGTAATTCTTCTTCTTCTTCTTCTGGTTTGTGTGCAATCTATGTTCTCATTCCGTATGTGTGTCAATCATGCTGTGGTGATAGCAGGGGGGAAAAAATCTGCTGCTGCTTCTGGAGGAGTGGCTCCAGTGCCTGGCCAAACTAGCAAAAGCGTGAAGCAGCCTTCACAAAAGAAAGACGGTCCTGTCGCATCTTCTGTTGCAGCTTCCGAGAAAAAAGGAGGTGATCGTCCACCAGACAAAGATAGGAAGAAAGATGTGCCTCCTCCACGTATGCAATTTGATGATAAAACCCGTGTGGGGAAGGCCAAAAGGCGTGCAGTGGTCAACCAAACTGAAGCTAGAAACAGAGTTGAATTGTTTCGACATTTGCCTCAATATGAACATGGAACACAGCTTCCTGATCTGGAGGCAAAGTTTTTCCAACTTGAACCAATGCATCCTGCTGTTTACAAGGTATCATTTGTGCAGAAAATTAGTTTATTATCTGTTTTTAGTTCTTGTTCCAACTGTGTAATTACAAGCATGAAATTACTAAATTTAAACACGATTATTAAAAATTTGGTAATATAATAAGTTGGCCTCATATTTTGTAATATTATGCCTTGTTGTCAGTTGGAGATGTAGGCATCTTGAATACTGTCCAAGACACCAAAACCTGTATCGTCATGTTTTCTGGTATTTCATATTCTCAGATTGGACAACGTTAACTGTTATGGATATCCTCGTGCTAGTGTCTTTGTTACATAGATTTTTACCTAAAATAATATTACCCAATTTCTGGTCCCTTTTCCAAAGTTGTTATGCATTCATGTTAACTATATATAGATATGAGTGATAGGCCTATAAATTTTGCACAAGGCCTGTGGGCCCGCTGCAGGCTCAAATCCCACATAAGGATGTAATCTTTTCAGCTCGGTTGGGGTATGGGGAAAAAAATTAACTGAATGAAACCTCTGGTTTTGTATGTAGTTGAACTGGCTGAGCAAAGCATACAACTAGGCCAGACCAATGTGTATTTTGATGGTCATCAGTTCAGACCGGTTTAGTTGATTGCTCAAAGAACAGATAATATGTAGGAACGTCTCTGAAAATTTGTAAGATACTGAAAGGAAGATGGAAACCTGTCCCTTTATTATGCCAACATGTACTATAAATGTTTAAAAAATTATGCAATAGTCGGTTTTGGTGTCAATTTTCTACACTCCCACTGAACTGAAAACCGACTGTTTTGGAATATGAAAACTGAAGATACCAATATTCTTGCAAAAACCAACCAAAACTGAGAAATTTTGTTGTTGTTGGGTCATTCGGTCCAATCACATTTTCTTACACCCCTACTGCCTATGGCCAGTCCATTCCACACCTCCTTGGAAAGGTTTGGGCCAGTGTATTTGAAGCCTGGCCTGAGAACTGTCCCAGTGTTTTTAAAAAAATGCCCAAGGACTCTGCAAAAGCCTTGCCTGAGCTCGGGCCTAGCCTGGCCCCCTAGGGCCATGGGCTGGGCAAACCAATTTTACATGTCTATCAAGTGATAACATATTTACTTCTAAACAACTGGGACAAAGGCGGTGGTGGATGAATCATCTTATTATGGGAACCAATTATGTGGAAAAAAATGTACTATGTCAAATAAAATCTAACGATCATAAACAAACTTTTGTCAGGTTGGATTACAATATTTGGCAGGAGATGTATTTGGGGGTAATGCTCGTTGTATTGCTATGCTTCAAGCATTTCGGGAAGCCATCAAAGACTATTGTACACCACCAGAAAAGGTTCTTGCTAGAGATTTAACTGCAAAAATCAATAGTTATATTTCATTTTTGATTGAATGTAGGCCCCTTTCAATCAGTATGGGGAATGCAATCAGGTTTTTAAAAGCTCGCGTTGCCAAATTACCTTTAAATCTTTCTGAGTCAGAAGCAAAAGCAACTCTGTATTCCGACATTGATCGTTTTATCAATGAGAAGATAGTTCTTGCAGACAAGGTGATAGTCAGACATGCTTCTACAAAAATCAGGGATGGGGATGTCCTTCTTACATATGGATCATCCTTGGTTGTCGAAATGGTTCTTTTATATGCCCATGAGCTTGGAAAACAATTTCGTGTTGTGGTGGTGGATTCACGACCAAAGTTTGAAGGCAAAGAATTACTTCGTAGGCTGCTTGCAAAGGGCCTCCGTTGTACATATACTCATATAAATGCTGTCTCATATATCATGCATGAAGTCACAAAAGTTTTTCTGGGGGCTGCCTCTGTATTGGCAAATGGAACAGTTTATTCAAGGGTTGGGACTGCATGTGTTGCTATGGTAGCTCATGCATTCCATGTTCCAGTTCTGATTTGCTGTGAAGCATATAAGTTTCATGAAAGGGTACAACTTGATTCCATTTGCTCAAATGAACTTGGTATGTCTTATGTTCTGTTATTTGATGCTCTCAACTAGTTGTTTAGCTTCGTCTACAGGATTATTGTTCCGTGTGTTAGTCTGAGGAGCATCTTTACATTGTTTGCAGGAGATCCGGATGACATTTCTAAAGTTCCAGGAAGAATGGATATGAATTATTTGGATAATTGGACCAGTAAAGAAAATTTGCAACTTCTGAATTTAGTGTAAGTTTTTGAGGAATTTTTATCAAAAGAAAATAAAACTGCCTCTTTAACTCTGAGTCTTAAAACTTTTCTTTTGATGTACCTGTAACAGTTATGATGCAACTCCTTCAGATTATATCTCTATGATCATCACAGATTATGGAATGGTAAGTCATATTGTGATTTAATTTTCAAAGTCAAGACATTAGGCCATTTTCAAGCATGCCTTAGAAAGTAAATGGTTCTTCAAAATCATCTGCTATTTATGGTGTTGCCATATTTTGTTAGTAATTGGAGGCCATAATTCAAAAGGTCCCCGCCTAGTCTCGGTTGACCTTTTGAATTATGGTCTCCAATTCTATCCCATTTGTGCATTCCTGATGACATCATACACCATGCATATAGATTTGTAATTGTATGACAATATTCGAAGCCCACATAACAAACTTGGGTTCCAAGGGGATTTGGAGATCAGTAAAATGGAGCAATGTTAAACATCGGTGTTAGAATCTGGGAGTGTTGGGGTGGAGGTATTGTTAGGGGTTGGGAGTATTGAGATTAATTTTGGAATTAAGTGGGGTGTTCAAAGAATTTGAAATTAGTTGATGGGGTTCCAAAAATAAATGTGGGTGTGAATAGCAGAGCACCCTGTATGCATAAAATAGTGGGTAATTCTATTTACACATCACAAAAAATCTCAGTACATACAATTTCCGAACAAAAATCAAATGTTCTTATGTAAACTTATGAACAAAAAGCAATTGTTCGAACATAAACAGTTGAATGGAATATATATTTGAACAATTTATCTTTGTTCATCAATTTATGTTTGAGCATTTGCCTTTTGCTCGAAGGTTTATGTCCAAACAAAACATATGGTGTGTACTGAGATTTCTTGCGGTGTGCGAACAGAATTTCCCTAAAATAGCTTGTTCTTTTACTAAAATGCCCCTACCAAAAGGCTCAATATAAAATAATCTCAAAAAATGAAGAATAAATAGAAATAGAAATAGGAACAACATCATATGTTAGACAGCTATCCACAAACTGTAAACTAAATTAAGCTGGTCTGTTCAGCCAACTATTCATTGTTTCTTTTTCCCTTTTTGTTGCTAATTGCAGGTCCCACCCACTAGTGTGCCTGTAATTGTGCGCGAGTACGGTAAAGAGCACCTACTGGTATAGCAGTACCAATATGGGCTGGTCTGCATGCATTGGATTATAAGACTAAAGATTCTTCCGACACCCAAGTGAAATTTGTTATCTAATCAATTCTTTAATGACTCTGAATAATGTTACAATGCCGTGTCAAATTTTCTTGTCTATTTTCTCTGGTAAACCTTTGTGAAGTGCAATTTCTTTGCCTGTGGAGGCAGTTTTGGGGGGCACCTTTTTTTTTATATACATGTTCTGAGCTTTTAGTGTTCCAGTTCTTTTGCTGATCATTTTGCTTTGCATTTCATTTATAACTATATATATATATATATATTTTTTTTTTTTTTGAAAAAAAAAAAAACTTACTGGTCACTTACTTGGAGACAAGGCTTGGTTTAATTCTTCATTATTGATACATGCCATATAGCTCCATGGAATTGGATTTCATAGCTTGGATGCAACTCCATGGCCAAGATGATGATGATGATCTTCCAAAAGGGGGAAAAAGATAAGTATCCCGAGAAAGTATCATGAAAATTATTCTGAAAGTGAAGTGTGTAATGTAGATTTAGACTTTAGATTTTGTGTTGTGTGTCGCCTGTTTTCATAATGAATGTGGTCCATGTAGAGCAGTGGTAATGATCCAAACTCAATGGTGTCAGCCAGTGTGAAGCCATGAACTTTATTCCTTGACAATGGGCTGGGACTGAGGTATCATAGATATGTGAATGTTTTGGTGTTTTATTTAATTAATATAATGGAAATAAAGGCAAAGAAAATTGGTTGAAAGAAACAAACTTGATCCCCTTCCTGTTTTCTTATGGGGTGAGAAAAATTCACTCAAAACAAGATCATGTACAGCTGCCATTGTTCAAAACCAAATATTGTAAGTAATTTGGAACATTTCTCATACTAAGGGATCTCTGATGATTCGAGTGCCGCATCCTATGACAATAAGTTCATCACCCCTTCTCTGGTTGGCATTCTCTCCCGTCTGATATGTACATCAATACATGATCTTCACCTTCTACATACAACAAAAAAGAGCAAAATAATGTAAATGAAAATTTCCGTGCATTGCTGCATCATATGCAGGTGGAAGATAACCCAAGTATGACAGAAATTTGACCTAAATCACCTGATATATCCCTTTTGCTTATACTTATCAGTCAAAAGTTTCTGCCTCATCATTTTTGTTTCTTGTCAGCACTATTATCCGCTGCTGCATTAGCCGCCAATTCCATCAGCATCTCATAATCTATCTCGGTTGACTTATATTTCACCTTGATCCCACCTTGAGTCCATGATTTTATACAGAGGGCTTGTGTGCTGTCATGTGACATACCGAACCGTTGCTTATCAACCTCATCGCCTTTGCTGCAAAACAGCTCTTCTGGTGCCACTGAAGTTGCCTGCACAGCCAAAAAATCACGAGCCATAACAGATAGCCGTGGATACCGCGAACTATTTACCTTCCACCACTCCAAAACATCAGTCGGTATTGGAGCCGGAGGGTCTGACAGGTATTGTGTCAGCTCATCAGTTGTGATTTCCCGGCTCATCATTGCCCTTCGTTTCTTCCTAGCAATTTCCTCAGCAAACGAAACACTTCCTCCATCTTCCATTTCTTGAGCGCCATACCCACCAGTTATAGATGGAAAATGATTAGTGGAGTAGTTTCTCATGAAATGGGTTCTAGCTTCTTGTAGATAGTTCTCCGAGTTGAGACTTTCAGGAATCAACTCAACTTTTATCCTCGGATCAAGGATTGCAGTCATGTATGTGAAGATGTTACAAACCTGCTCATTGTATTTCCGGGCTATTGTTGCCATGTCTTCAGCAGCGTTCTTGAGCCAGTCTGGGTTGTGACGGCAGTCTCTGCAGGCGGCAATCATCTCAGAAATGTGATCCATGAAGAAGACAACGAGACCGATTGTGGGAACTTTGTTTGTACATATGTCATTTGTGGTTTTGTGAAAGGGTTCTAGAAACGTGTGCATGATATTGACGGCATTCTTCTCTGCAGAATTTAGTAGCATCCTAGTACCTAGTGTCTCCTCGTATTTCCTGATTACAGTTTCCATGGATTTACCAGCCTGCATGGTTAAATAAAATCCCAAATCAACATTAGCCTGTCAGAGAGAGAGAGTGATGGAACAAGCTATTAGGTTATATACTCAAGAACTCACAATGGACAAGAGAAAATACCTTCCGCACGATATCTAGCATCTGGTAATTGCCGCTCCATCGAGCGGACACATCCAGCGGGAATTTCCAACTTCCTTCATGAAAAGCTGTTGCATATTGTACAAATTCCCCAGCGATTTCCTTGGATGAATTCATCTCTAATACAAACTCCCTGATCTTAGAGATCACTGGTTTCGTAGTTCTTAACCCGTCATTTATGATTGAGTTCAAAGTACGAGCAGCACAGGGGACATAGCAGAAGGGCCCCACTTTCTGGTTATCAATATCCTCTTTCAGCGTGTGGCATGCATTCACTGCATCTGGACTGTTATCATGAGTGCAGGAGAGGACTCTGTTGTCAATATTGTACATCTTGAGGGCTTTCACTAGATTGTGATAGATCTCAACGCCACCACAAGGGGAAGGTATATGACAAATATTGAGAAGAATCTTTTGGAAGGACCAGTTTTCGTCAATCCATTGGCAAGTGACACTCATATAAAAGATTTGTTCATAGGAAGTCCAGAAATCAAGCGTGATTGAGACCTTAGAAGAAACTTGCTCCAATATTGCCCTTACATCTTCTCGCATGCTCCTGAAAACTTCACAAAGCACTGCTTGGAACTTCTCGCCTGGCCAGAGTTGAATTGATGGATTGAGGAATTTGAAGGAGTTTGCTAACCACTTTTCCTCCAAGGCAGAAGGAGGAAGTGATGACAAAATGAGCCACTTGATGAGCAACCAGTTCAAATGGTCGAGATCCACATGAGGTGTTTTAGCTTGAGGAGGAGGTTTCTTGGCTACAGTTATGGGTTGTGGGGGTGGACTGGTGACAGCGTCCCCTGTCTTATCGTATCCTGCGTGGCGATTACTGAGGTGCCTTCCCAAATTGCCTTCATCAGAACAGAGAGCATAGTTAAAGCGTGACCATTATACAAATGAACAGTCATGTTTTTGCAAGCTCAAGCCCTATATAAGCATGCTAGTGTCAGGAGTGGATTTATAAATAAAATATTTTAGCAAATAATGTTTCAAATCAATCAATTATTCAAATGTATGAAACGCAATGTGATCTTGAGCAAATCTGATCGGTGCTTCTCCAGAATACCTGTTCATTTCTGGTGCATTATTGTATCTGTTCATTGGGAGATAAGATGCAGTCATGAAATAGAAGAAAGTGCACAGGGATTACCAGTGGCAGTTGCAATAGAATAGCTCTGCCCACAAAACTTGCACCTTCGACTTTTCCCATCAGGAGCTGTTTCAAAAAATTTGAGATAAACTGATGTCATCGTCTTCTTTCTTGGTTTTGCAGTGGAAACAACATTGCCCTTTTCTGAAGAACCCAATCCAATATCTACTGGGTCAATGCTTGGAATGAGAGCCATATCCATCACAGATTTAGATTCCATATCTGCTCCAGGAAACAAGGATTAAAATAGTATGACAGACATAATACATTCATGCTAAGATGAAAAGCTGGATTTCCCAAAACTCAAAAGCCCAATATGCAGCTCAGAAACAGAACTACGGGCAAACTATATATGTAGTCCAAATATTCATTTTGCAATCCATAACTAGTTACTTAAGTCTAAGTCTTTTCTTCTTCTAACAGTACCTTAAAGAATTATTGGGTACCTTGAAGGATAAAATCAATTCAATTTAGTTAATCTTGTCTGCATATACAAATGTTTGGAAAACTAATAAACATATATTTGTGGTGTGTGTAAGTCTTCAGAAAGCCAATAATAGTTCTAGTTTTTCAAAAAGGTCTTTTTGTTGACATAATAAAATTAAAACAAACTTGATCTAAGAGGGAGTTGATAGAAAAATAATAACTCACGGGAAAGGGACAAAGAAGAGAAAATAACCAAACTTTATCAACCACACAAACCCATTTTGAAGCTTTGTGTTCCCAATCACAAGTTATAACCCCCCCCCCCCCACCCCCCCCCCCCCCCCTCCCTTTCTCGGCGCACCACCACGCCCCACAACATTCTCACCTATTTCTCCCAGTAACTTTTGTAGAGACCTCCAGTTAAAAAGTCACCCAAAAAGCATCATTCAAATATCCAATCCTCATTTTATTTAATGGCTAGAATTCATTTATCCATGTATCATTTTCTGTAAGCATAAGAACACTTTTATGTTCGGCAGAAGCCTCATGTTATATACCATATTCCACTAATATTTGTGTTATGATACAAGTCTTAAGTTTTGAAAAAAATAATTAGTGTGTTTGGTTTGAGTTTTTTAAATTAAGTTTTTTGAAAACTCAGTTTTTTGGTTTTCGTGTTTTTTTGCTTTTAGTGAATATTTTTAAAATTTTAAATATTTTTTTTACTTTTTTAGATGCACCTTACTTAGATGTATCTAAAAAGTTAAAAATTTGTGAAAAAATATTTTAAAATTTTAATAAATACATAAAAATACAAAAAATGTACTGAATTTTCGTATTTTTTTTTTGTATTTTTGGTATTTAGTGAATTTTTAAAAGGTTTTCACAAATTTTTTACTTTTTAAGTATATTGATGTTAGGTATGTCTAAAAAGTTAAAAAAAAAAATTGCTTAAAATATTAAAAAAATTCAGTAAAAACAAAAAAATAAGAAAAACAAGAAAATAGAATTTTCTGAAAAGTGTTTTTGAAAAAACACAACCAAGCATGGTGAATAATAATAACAATAATAAAATAGATGAGATTTGGTTCTATTAGGTCTAAATTTATAAACCATTTTGGGGTGCAACCAGGGAACAACTATCAACTAGTTTGAAGAGTTCTTCCGTTTAGTAATGGAAGTCATCTTTTGTCACTTTCAAATGCTCAATGCCTTATGTCATTCCAATTAGTGTTCAACACAGTTGGCAAATCTCACGATGTTGAAAAATAAAGGCTCATGAACCTCGTGTTTGGTTGACACCCAACACCACAACCTATGAAGTACAGATTCTTCAAAAAGAGAGACTTATACGTATCGGATACTTATCAGATACCGATACTCTTTGGATACTCGTGGATACGTATCAGACACTTCTTAATTAATTTTTTAATAATTTTGAAATATCGGATACTTAATTTTGAAATATCGGATACTCGAAGTCACATATTACTTATAATACTTTATTTAGTTCTTTGATAAGAGGAATATAGTGAGAGTAAAAGTAATAGAATTTGTCAAATTGATTGTCTCTCTCACTTCTCTCTCGTTCTCTCACTCTCACGTTTCTTCTCTCTACTCTCATTCTTTTTTTGGTGTTTGCATGCAAGAAAGATGCTTAATTTGAATTTGCTTTTAGTTTTAGATGTTTTATGAATATTTGAAGACTCTTAGGTTAATACGAATCCCTCTCTTTATTTATTAATTTGCTTTAGGTTTTATTTTCATACATATTACATTATTAAAATTATAAAAAATAATTTTTTTTTAGGAACATATCTCTGCCGTACATGTATCCTACTTTTTTAGATTTTGACATATCACCATATCCCGTATCCATATCCGTGCTTCCTAGACCACAACTAGAACCAACATCTGAATCTGACCGCCACATCCCCTTATTTCATCTAGTTCTTGTTCTCACTTTTTTTTTTCTCCACTTTTACATTCACTCTACCTAGTCATCAAGGTGTCACTGACTTGACATAAAATCTAATCATGTACCAAGCGATAGCAAGATATATTTCCATCATCCCTATAAGAAAGACACAATTTTTACAAGTCCTTTAGTTATTGCATAAAGGAAAATGTGATATCAGCAAATCAAGTCGAGGTAACTAATATCCCCAAATCATAAATTAACATGCAAATAAAATTAGCACAAAAATTACAACCAAGAGAGAGGTGAGAGTTAAACAGGTAGAGATGACTAACCAAAACACAAAATTTGGAGTGGGAAGGAGTAGACGGCACAATGTAATGACAGAAAATTTAAGCCAAAACATACTTCCTAAAACCCCTCCAAACTTATGAACATTAAATCAGTTCCAAAATTACAATCCCAGTTCCATTTGATCATGCTCTATCAACTTCCAAATATTGAATAAAACTAGCAAACATCCATAAAAAAATTAGAGTGAGCTTTACACAAGGCAGTACCTTTCAAGGTTTTAAATGCATTGTTAACACTCCACTCCATAAGATTCCCAGCTTTTCCACTGACTGTTCCTGTCTGGTTAAAAAGTAGTGAGGCAAGGGCGAAAATATATATATATATATATATAAATATAAATAAAAATAAAAATAAAAATAAAAAGAGCAGCATACATCTGAACAACCTATATTTCCAGAAAAAAACATGCATCCAACTTAATGCGATAACATCAGCAGAATTGGGATCATCTTTAGTAAATATTTATAATATAAGTCATCGAACACACTTGTGAAATACAACAAACGATCCACCACCTTCTGAAACAACATCATGGCAGAATTTAATAGATAAATATGCTTCTCCAAAGATGGCTTAAAAATTGAAAATCAATTACAGTTAGACCTACACCAAGAAGTTGTTCATGCTTAAGAAAATCAATAAATATAAATGAGAAAGAAACCAATAACCGCAATAAACATTAGTATTCTCATTGCTATATATGGACTACTAGAATTTGTATTGTGAAAGCAATTTCAGGTATAAAGACCACAACCTTGTGGTTGTATTAAATTTTTTTCCAAACATTGTGTGTTTAAAACTTGATTCACATGCCTGATCTGTACAAAGTAGCACAGCCTCCGAACTTACTAGAGCTTCACCTGCTCATCTAACAAGGAGAACCAACAACAGTCCTTACACGTAATTACCAGCATAACACATTACAGCAATGTTAATAGAAAACATTGATAACCTAGCGATTTACATTTTGGAACACATGTTCCGAAACATGGAACACTAAGTTGGAAAAACCCTACGTTTTATTGGAGGTTTAATTGTCAAAAAAAAAAAAACTCACAACTGAAAACACTTTAAATTCTTATAGCAAGAAGAACCAACAACAGTCCTTACGCATAATTACCAACATAACACACTTTAAAGCAACATTACCAGAAAAACATTGATAACCTAGCGATTTCCATTTTGGAACGCAAGTTACAAAACATGCCACACTAATTTGGAAAAAATCCTACGTTTTATTGAATGTTTAATTGTCAAAAAAAAAAAAAAACTCACGACTAAAAGTACTTTTAATTCTTATAAGAAGGAGAACCAACAACAGTCCTTACACATAATTACCAGAAACATAACACACTTTAAAGCAATGTTACCAGAAAACAATGATAATTTAGCGATTTACATTTTGGAACGCATGTTCCGAAACATCGCACACTAATTTGGGGAAAAAAACTACATTTTAGTAGATGTTTAATTGTCAAAAAAAAAAAAAACCTCACGACTAGAAGTACTTTAAATTCTTATAACAAGGAAAACCAACAACAGTCCTTACACGTAATTACTAGCATAACACACTTTAAAGCAATGTCACCAAAAAACATTGATAACCTAGACATTTAGGTTTTGGAACTCATGTTCCGAAACATGGTAAACTAATTTGAAAAAAATCCTACATTTTATTAGATGTCTAATTGTTAAATATATATATATATATATATACATATCCTGACTAAAAGTACCTTAAATTCTTATAGTGTAAACTATATAAGCCTACCCTTATCGTATCACAATTTAGAGCATGTGACGTACAGCATTTCAATTCCCATTCCACGTACCAGAACGATACATGTTCCCGGTAACAAAGCTTTAAAGCATTGAAGAGTGTTTTGTCTAGCATTCCGACCTACTTTATGTCGGTGCATGTGATTCCTGTAGCGGTTGTTAAGCGGTTGGAGAAACTACAACAGGATTTTTTGTAGAGTGGTGAGAGGGAGGGTTTTCATTATCATTTGGTGGCATGGGATAGAGTTTTTACTTCTAAGAAGTCTTGGGGTTTTGGGTGTGAGCAAGGTTCTGAAAAGCGGTTGCGGTTGCGGTTGCTGTAACGGTGGCAGTAGCGTGGTTGCAGTTGCGGTTGCGGCTGCGGGGTGTAAAGGCTGTAGCGTAACGGTTGCGGTAACCGGAACTATGAATTTTTTTTATTTTTCGCACAATTTGAAAAAAACTTACATATACACATATTTTTTTTCCATGATCATATTTATTGGGTTTAAAATAAATATTGATCAATTTTTGTAAATTTTTAAGTATTATCCAATATATTTCATATTTTTAAATCACTACAAACTGGGTTTTTTACATTTTATTTTAATAATTAATGACTTTATATTATACAAAAAATCAATTACTACTATTATATATAAGATAAACAATGACAAAAGTAAGAGAATAAATAAAAGCCTAAATATATATATATATATATATATTTTAACCAAGCCAAATAGATAATGACCACACTTATTATTATTATTATTATTATTATTATTAAACAATATATAGATAGACACACAAACAAAATGGTTGAGTGATAGCAGTTGAATAGAATAGCATAGGTCTTACAGCTTTAACTAATCAATAACATGTTCTTCATCTTCCCTCTTCTCTCTCTCTATCTCTTACTCCTCCATTTTCTCTCTTTATCTTCTCTCTTCTCTCTATCCCTCTTCCCCCACTTTCAACTTTTTTTTGTGTGTTTTTTCAAAAGAAACAGTTTGGAACCGTTGCGTAACGGTGTGTAATAGGCCGTTACGGCTGTTACGGCACCGTTACGACAGCTACAACAGCCGCTACAGCCAACACACCTATGAATCTCAATCACACTGCAAAAGCGGCCGTAACGGGTGGCGGTAACCACCAAAACCGTTATGTAATGATTGCGGCCGCTTTTTAAAACCTTGGGTGTGAGGAAGTTGGTCATGTTTAATCAGGCTCTATTAGGGAAATGGCTGTGGCATTTTATGTTAGAGAGGGATAGATTATGGAGACAGGTGGTGGTGGCCAAATATGGGTTGGGTAGTAGGGGCTGGTCTTCGAGCAGGGTTTGTCATTCCCATGGTCGTGGCCTATGGAAGGAGATTTGGTTGAGCTGTGAGGAGTTTTGGGGTCGGGTTCGGTTCAAAACAAGGGTGGGAATAGGGTTTGTTTTTGGCAAGACAGATGGTGTGGGGATTTGCCTCTGGCAAGATTATTTCCTTTGATTCATGCTATTGCTTCCAATCTTGAGGAGATAGTGGTCTCTATTCGAGATCGGCAGGGGTTTGATTGGAATGTTCATTTGCGGCGTGCGGTTTAGGATTGAGAATTGGAGCAGCTGGTGGAGTTTTTGGATTTTCAGTGTGATTTGCATTTAGAGGGAGATGGGCCAGATACTTTGGTGTGGGATTATCCAAAATCTAAAAAGGTTTTTTTGGTGTCTTCATTTTATCAGGCTTTGACGGGTGGTCATGCAATGGTCTTTCCTTAGAGGTGTATTTGGGTGTCAGGGTCACCATCTAAGGTGGTGTTCTTTGTTTGGACTGCAATCTTGGGCCGTATCTTGACTATTGACAACCTAATTTGTCGTGGTCATGTTCTAGTAAATTGGTGTTGCTTGTGTTGCGATGATGCGGAAACGGTGGATCATTTGCTTAGTCATTGTCTCGTTACGTTGCGACTTTGGATGTTGATTATGGTGATTTTTTGTTTGGCTTGGGTGCGGCCGAGTTCTATTTTCAATGTTTTGCAAAGTTTTTTTTTTTTGGGTGGGGCCGGTGTTGGTCCGAGGCAGCAAAAGACATGGTTACTTGCTTCTCATTGTTTGCTTTGGCCGGTGTGGTTGAGGTGTAATAGGCATCTTTTTGAGGGTGTAGCACATTCAATTTCATGGCTAGAGAATCGTCTTCTTGTGGTGCTTCATAGTTGGTTACGATTTCAGTAGATCCTAATGTTTTGACATTTATAGATTTTGTAGAGGATTTGATTAGTTAGTTTTTATTTTTGGCCTTTTATGGGTTTTGGTTCTTTTTTGTATTATTTGCATCGCCTTGATACTTTTACAATAAAATTTGCTTATTTATCAAAAACAAAAGCCACCCAACTATGAATCAATACACAAGTTCAGTTCCCATTCCTCCTACCAGAATGATCCACATTCCAAGTAACAAACCTTTACGCTGTTTGGTTAAGGGATTTGAAAAAGAATTTGGAAAGGAGAATGGAAAAAAAAGGTAAACCGTAAATAAAATATACATGCATTTCACCTAATTTCACACACTTTTTTTTCCACCCTATTCCAAATCCCTTCCCAAATTCCCAACCAAACATAGCATTAAAGCACACAACAAAAGCCACCCAACTATGAATCAATACACTGATTCAGTAACCAAAAACATTTCCGTTTTCGGAGGTGGTGTATAAATCTGCAAGAAACTTTTAACAATCAGCAACTCAATTCATGTTTACCTATAGCTATCACTTTTTTTTTTTTTTTTGCTCAGAAAGTCAAGTGACGCTTAAAATTCAATATAAACAGTACCAATATGACCAAAGGAGAAGTAACAATGGAAAGACAATAACATCAGATCAATTTAGAAAGGAGGCCGATAGCGATCATTTGAACTAGAAATGCTTGGTCGATGAAAGTTTTACCGCAAAATTCATGAGAAATGTGAGCAGAAGAGTGGCACCAAAAGAAGATAATGTTGTTCATTCAACTCTTCACAAAGAAAACACAACCTGGAAGAGAAATCAGAGAGGTCGAACTCAAACATCAGAAGTGAAAATTTAGGGTTTGACATTGGTCCGGACAACTCAACTGAAAGAAGCAAAAACAAAAAAATGATCACTCACCATAACAAAATTCGAGCTCCTCCGTCTCTTCCAAATCTGTAAACCCCCCCTGTAAACAAAACTCATACCTACATATACATATATATATATATAGATAGAGAGAGGGAGAGAGAGAGAGAGAGTTGCAGAGAGAGAGAGAGAAAGTTGCAGAGAGAGAGAGATGGGGGAAGGAGGGAAGCTGGATCTGAGCCGAGCGATGAGAGAGAAACTGGGTTGAGATCAGCTTTTGAGTTGCAGAGAGAGAGAGAGAGCCGCGACGCCTATAGATCGGTCTTCATTCTCTCTCTAGAGATCCAAAAACTGGCGAGTGACGCCAGGTCGACGGCTTAAACGACTATATAAATGAAACTCATCAAGAGAGAGAGTGGGGAGAGACGCGTGGTTGGCTCGGCTAGCGAGAGTGAGTGGGTTGGGTTGACAGGTGGGCTCGGCACGGGGTTGGAAAGAACAGCGAGCCCGAGCCGCTGTAGGAACAAAATCGAGCTCGGACCATCCAGCTTTAGTTTTTAATTTCGCTCACTTTTTCAACACCACAAATTCAAATAAAACGTTCATTCAAATCTTTTCTTTTTTAGCCTTCTCAAAACAAAACCAAAAAAACAAAATCTACTACTATTCTTTTTTATATGAGAAATTTACTCTTCAGTATTATCGTGATTTTTAATTTCATATTTATTTATTAAAATAATATAATTTAATATTTTTTTAATAGATTTTTTAGAATAATTTGTGAAATATTAAATGATAAATGATGTAGAACATGTTTCGATACTATTAAATAACCCTTTTATATAATATAAAACTAGCATATCATCCGTGCTATGTACGGATTGTGTTTACAATTATCTATATATGTGAACTGTGATTTTTAATTTTTTTTTTTAAATGTCTTCTTTTTTTCTTTTTTTATATTATATTAAAATTTAATATTTTGATAATAATCATATGTGTTTGACTTTTCAAGGAATTAAATGTCTTTTTTTATTTATTATATTATATTAAAGTTTAATATTTTGATAATAATTATATGTGTTGGACTTTTGGAAAAAAAAAATTATGCTTGTTCTTAATGCATTAAAGTGTTATTATGAGGGATAATAATCATATTTGTTTGGACTTTTCAGGGAATTCATATATGTTGGATTTCAAAGAATTTTTTTTTATTCTTATTCTTAATACGTTAAAGTGCTATTATGAGGGTAAGACTTGGGAGTTGGGAGAAATTAATAAATGCTAAGATTTTTTTTAAAAAATCAAAAAATCAGGAAATTTAGATTGGGAGATTGGAGCTCCCACAAGGCTTGGGGTTAAAAACCCCCTTTTGCTTAATATATAGTATAGACTAGCATATCACCCATTTAAAAAACCCTCTTTTGCTTAAATATAATATAAAGCCTAATTTATCGTGCTATGCACGGGAAATTATAGATATTTATATTTTTTAATTTTTTTAATATATAAATATTTTTTTAAGATTTTTTTATAAAAATAATTTAATAATCTTATCACTAACCATAGTGTACAGGAAAATTAAAAAGGCTACTGCAAGTAACTATGCACGGGCTATACTCTATTATTTATATGAGGGATTTAAATACTAATCAGGAATTTTACCAAATCAATAAATGCTGAAGTTATTTTTTTTTAAATCAAAAATTGAAAATTTAAAAAAAAGATTGAGATATTAGAGCTCCCATAAAGCTTGAGGTTTAGAAATCCCATTTTCCTAATATATTTCCTTAATATATTTAAATTATCTACATATGTAATGTGGTTTTTAATGTCTTTTTTCTTTTTTTTTTAAATGTCTTCTTTTTTCCTTTTTATTATATTAAAATTTAATATTTTGATAATAATCATATGTGTTGACTTTCAAGAATTAAATGTCTTCTTTTTTATTATATTATATTAAAGTTAAATTTTGATAAATAATTATTGTGTGGACTTTTCAAAGAAATTTTTTATGCTCGTTCTTAATGCATTAAAGTGTTATTATGAGGAGATAATAATATATGTGTTGAACTTCTCAAGAAATTCATATGTGTTGAATTTCAAAGAATTTTTTTATACTTGTTCTTAATGCATTAAAGTGTTATTATGTGGGTAAGACATGGTGATTGGAGAAGTTAATAAATGCTAAGGTTTTTTTTTTTAAACAAAAAATCAGAAAATTCTAGATTGGGAGATTGGAGCTCCCACAATGCCGGGTTAAAAACTCCATTTTTTAAATAAAAATTTAGAAAATAGATTGAGAAAGATTGGAGCGCGACAAGGCTTGGGTTTAAAAACCCTATTTTTCTTAAATATATTTACAATTATCTACATATGTGAATTGCGATTTTAAATGTCTTTTTTTTTTAAATTCTTATTTTTTTCCCTTTTATATTATATTAAAGTTTAATATTTTGATAATAATCAACATGTTTGGACTTTTCAAAGAATAAATGTCTTTCTTTTTTATTATATTATATTAAATTTATATTTTGATAATAATTATATTGTTGTTGACTTTCAAGAAATTTTTTATGCTCATCCAATGCATTCAAGTGTGATTATGAGGATAATAATCATATGTGCTTGGAACTTTTCATGGAATTTCATATTGTTGAATTTCCTATACACCCGTGCTATGCACGGGATAATATAGAATATTATATTTGTTTTAATTTTTTTTAATATATAAAATTATGTTTTTAAGATTTTTTTATAAAAGTAATTTCACAATCTTATCACTAACCAGTGGTACATGAGAAATTAAAAAGGCTACTGCAGTTAACATGCCGGACTATATCTATAATTATTTGTATGATGGAATTTAAATGCTTATCAGAGATTTGACCAAATCAATAAAGCAGACATGTAGATTGAAAAAGTTAATAAAGATGTTGATCAGGGAATTTAACCAAATCAATAAATGCTGAGATTTTTTTTTTAATCAAAAATTAGAAAATTAAGATTGAGAGATTGAGCTCTACAAGACTTAGGTTTTAAAACCGCATTTTCTTAACATATTTTACAATATCTTATATATATGATTGCGATTTTAAATGTCTTTTTTTTTTTTAAATGTCTCTTTTTTCATTTTATATTATATAAGTTTAATTATTTTGATAATAATCATATGTGTTGAACTTCAAGTAATTAAATGTCTTCTTTTTTTTATATATTATATTAAAGTTAATATTTTGATAATAACATATTTTTAAATTTTTCAAAAATTTTTTATACTTATATCTAATGCATTAAAGTGTTATTATGAAGATAATAATCATATGTGTTGGACTTTTCAAGAAATTCATATGTGTTTGGATTTTAAAGAATTTTTTTTATACTTGTTCTTAATGTATAAAGTTATATGAGGGTAAACTTAGGGTTGGGAGAAGTTAATAAATGCTAAATTTTTTTTTTAAATCAAAAAGTTAAAAAATTTACATTGAGAGATTGGAGCTCCAACAAGCCTTAGGGTTAAACCTCAATTACAATATATAGTATATAGATATATAGACAAATAAAAGTTCATTTTAACGACATTTTTTTAAAAATAAAAATTATGACCTTTTGTTTAAAATAAATAGTTTCAATCACTTTATTTGGTTTTGAGTTTTCAATTCAGCTCCGTTTTGTAGCTCGAATTTTCCGTGGGTTGAGCGACCCGAAATCACAAAACGACATCGTTTTGAGATTTTTTTTATTTGTGCTTTTCTATTTTGCCCCTTTCTCATAACTCAGGAGATAAGAAAGAAGAAAGAAAGAGAAGAAAGAAGAGATCTGAATCATCAACACGACATTCATCATCAACAACCAACACATCTGGAAAATACTGACTAGTTTAGAACCCACACACACAACATCTGGAAAATCAAACCCATACACACACACAGCACAAATCAAACCCCCACACACACACAAAGCAGCAACGAAGCAGCACAAGCCTCGTCGGCGGCACACCAACCTCGTTCGGCACAAATAGAAATCGGCGATATGGTCGTCGTTCGTGTCCTCCATTGTCCTCCGCCGAAGGCGAGAGTGAAGAAATAGCGAGGAGAGAGAGACGAGATGAATGAGAGATGAGGCGAGAGAGGCGAGAGGGATGAGGCGAGATGAGAGCATCGGGAGAGGGATGAAACGAGAGTGAGAGAGAGGCTCGAGTGGAGTTGCTGATTTTTTTGGAAGAGGAAGAGATGAGAGGAGAAGAGAAATTTTTAGTTTCGAGCTACGGATGATTTTTCTTTCAATATATATTTTTTGTTTTAAGTGAATTTTTTAAATATTTAATTATTTTTTTTTTTAAATATATTTAATTTAATACACTTAAAAAGTAAAATATTCATTAAAAAAATCTTTAAAAAAATGTATGACAATGTTTTTTTTGTTGTATTAGTAAATATTAAAAAATTACACCTTACTTTTTAAGTGTATCTAAATTAAGTAAATTTTAAAAAATAAAAATAAAAATGATTTAGATATTAAAAATGTTCACGAAAAAAAACAAAGAATACAAATTGAAAACTCAAAAAAATATTTTAAAATTCAAGAATCAAACAGAAAAAATACTACTTAAAAATATTGCGCACAAAAAAACATTATTTGACCATCTTGCTCATTTAAACTATACAAATTGAAAACTTCAAAAAAATATTTTTAAGAATTTAAAATCAAACGAATAAATACTGTTTAAAAATATTGCGACAAAAAAACATTATTTGACCATCTTGCTCATTTTAAACTATGTCTATCTTTTTAAAATTAGATCGTTTCTTAAACATAGAATTACAAAATATCATAATAGGTCTTATATCAAGATTACAATTTTAAAAATTTATATATATAATATAATATATATGTAAAACAATTACAAATTATAAATATAATTTGACAATGATACGTTAATCACACCATTAACCATAATTAAACCAATTAATATTTTGTTCTTCAAATATCCATGATTTAATTCAGACAATTAAGTCCTATTTTGATAGTTTGGAATAAGATTAGTTCAATAATCCATAATCAATATATTCTATTCCAATTTTACCCCTGGGCATTAAAACTACACATTTGTAATTGATGCACTTACAACAAAGAACAATGATACAGACAAAATTCTTATAGCAAAATGATGTGAATTGCTGCTGATCTCTTGTTTCAAACCCAAAACACGTACCAGTTCATAGCTCACAGTTCAAATAATGTCAGCGCCACATAAATGAGATAGAGGAGCAAAAACAAATGATACGAAAGCCCGGGAAATCACTCTAAACCATGCCTAGCGGGCAGCGTCTAACCAAATGAATAGTTTCACAGTTCACAGTGCACCGGAGAGCCTAATGAGAGAGAGAGAGAGAGAGGTTGCATACTCTTTCAATCACCTGGATCTTCAACTACATTCATCATTGCACCATAATTTTGACCTAATCATTCTATTAACTAGTCACAGTAATTGTAATAAAAATGAAATTCATACATACAAGCTTATCCAGACAGTTGCTACTTGCTATTGTTCTCTTCCACAATGGTCCACAACCAAAGCATTTGCAAGCAGTCCTCCGGAGGTCGATACCTGCTCTTTTTCATACCTACCCATAATTACAACTTAAAAACTAATGAAGTATACTGGGTTTCTATATACTACGCATGATGATAAATGTCGGAGGCAGAAAAGCTCGACCTAGGTCACACGACTCCCAAACAGTCTGTCCACAGCCCCTCCCAACCATAGTTGGATATCCTCTTTCCCACATGAGGAGCCTCTGGACTGCCCAACCCAGCCTGGACGACCACGTTGATGTCTCTGGAATCAT